CGGGGTCTTCCGGAGCCTCAGCGGGGGGCCGCTGGGGCGCCGTGGAGAGGACACCGAGCCCCTGGAGAGCCCCCCCTGCTACGAGGACGCCCTCTACTTCCCGGTGCTCATTGTCCATGGCGACAGTGGCTGCCGGGGGGACGGGCAGGGCGCGCTCTGAGGCCCCGTGGCCCCCGGGGCCGCTCCCCGCCCCACCACCCCCACCCGGGGCTTCGGCGCCCAGTAACTGTTGTCTAAGATGGGGGGATGGAGACCGGCGTGGAGGGGTGGGGGAGGGGTGGACCTTCAAATGCAACGACCCGGGGTCCTCTTGGGGGAAGTGGCCTCCACCCAAGCTGAGCCTGACCCGTCCCAGCATGGCCCCGCCCTTGCACCACGTTCCACCCCCTGCCACGACAGGTGATCTGGCTTGGATGGGGGGGCTCCTGGGGACAGCCGTTGCCTCAGCAAAAGGCCTCCGAGCCCTCATGCCACCCAGAAGCACAAATTGGCAGTCTGGGGCCAACTCCCGTTGGCCGACCAGCCGGCCGCAGCGCGCCCCCAAGGCCCCATCCTGCTCCCCGACAGGCCCCCACGCCTGCCCGGCCCCTCTGCTGGGCCAGTCCCTGAGAGCACAGTCCCCGGCCCCGCACCCGGTGGGCTTTCCCCGGCACCTCGCGGGACATCCAGCCCAGGGCCCTCCTCAGCCCCGTCCTCCGGTCTCCACCGGCCCCTGAAGTCCATCTCCCGGCAGCCACGCACACACCCTCATCGCCCCCTCTCTGCTCTTGGCCCTCCCGATGACCCCGGGTCAGGGCGTCCGAGGGGCCACGGCCTCTTGACGACGCCCTTGCTCTCCCATGGGGGCCCCTGCTTCCCCAGGGTGGGGTGGCCCTTCCCTTCCCTTCCATCTGGGGCTCCACCCTCTCAGGGCCGGTGGGGGAGGGAGGAGGCAGAGAAGATGCAGATCAAATAAAAGGTTTGAACCGGGTCTTCCCTTGCGTTCCTGAGGGCGGGCGGGCGTGGGGTTGGCTGTGTCCCAGAGCAGCACAGCCGAGAGTTCCCCTGGGGCCTGAGACTCAGGTCCGAGTGGTTCGGGGTCGCCTGTGCTGACTGCTGTCTGGCCCTGGGTCTGCCTGTCCACGGTGGCCTCCTGCCCCGTGGGGGGCTGGAGGAGGCTCATGCTGCGCTGAGTGTGCTCAGGGCGGGGGAGGGTCTGGTCCTGAAGTGGGGAGAAAGAGCCTTGGCTTGCGATAGGAGTTCCAGTGCCCCCATGCGATTGGGGGTGTCCGCCCGGGGGGTTGGGTGTGGAGCAGGTTGGAGACACGAGCAGGACCTCGCTCGCCAGTGGAGCCAGAGTGGGCGCTGGACCCCACGGCTTCCCACGCAGGGCAGGGCGTGCCCTGTGCAGGGGCACTGAGTTGCAGTCCCGCGTGGGCAGGAGCCAGATGCCAGGCCTGGCCTGGAGTTTGTCCACCTGGGCAAAGAGCGCCCCTTTAGTCTGTGCAAGGGCACTGTCAGGGCTAGTGGTGGCCCTGGAGGGGCCGAGGGGCAGGGTGCTCTCTGCGCAGGAGGCCCCGCCAGGCCCGGGGAGCTGGGGTAGCAGCAGGTAGCTGTAAAAAACTGGGCGTCACTGCCAAGCCCTAGAATCTGCCTCAGCCTGGGACCACAAGCTGGGGAAGGTGGTTGGCCAGGGGAATAAGGGTCGGGCTGCTCAGGGTGGTCAGCGAGGGCCCATTGCCACGCTGCATTCTGGCGGTGAAGTCAAGTCTTTGTGTAGAAGCAACTTGAATGGAAAATTCTACAGTGGTCAAGCACTGTAGGAGGCCGCAGGGGCAAGGGTCTGCACGGGGAACAATGCCCTCTGCCCCTGTCACGACGAGTTCCGGTTGTCCGGTAGCCACTGCCCATTCTCGTTCCTCCCCCAGAGCCCCTGTTTCATTGCAGGTGGCAAGATGTCCAAGGGAAAGCAGCATTGCCAGCCTCCTTGGCACTGAGGGCGTGGCTGGGTGATGCCCACGCTCCTTGAAACAGCAACATTTCTCGTGAAGGCTAGTTTTGTGCGGGCTGTGTCACCCCCAAGTAGCCTGGAAAGCAGACGTGAGAGCGGGAGCTCCAGCAGCCACCTTGGGTCAGGAGGTGACTGAGAATCGTAGCGCCGTGCAAGGACAGCAGAGCAGGACAAAGACCACACGCTCTCCTGGCACATCATTTCTGGGCCGCCTACTTCCTAGTGAGAACGAGAAACTTCTGGTGTGTTTAATCACGGTCTTTTCTGGTGTCTCTACGGACAGCTATATTCATCCTCCACTGCTGCCCCCCAGATGGAGTGACTCAAACATCACTAGTCATTATTCCCTCTCCAGGCTTGTGTGGGTCAAGAACTCGGACAGGGCTCTCAGGGAGAGCTACCTCTCTGCGCAGGACCTCTGGCCTCTGCTGGAGGCAGGAAGGTGGGCCGACACCCCAACCCCCTCCGTCTCAGGGCTGGCCTGTGCCGGCCGAGGGCTGAGAGCCTACTAGGCTGCTGGTGAGCACCCGCCAGGCACGGCCTCTCCACAGGCTGGGGCTTCATCCCAGTGGGTGCTCAGGTCCCAGGGCTGGGGGCCCAGAGGTGGAGGCAGTCCTGTCCTTTACGATCTGGCCTCAGAAGTCACACGTATCCCTTTCTCTTGGCCAAGGCTATTCGGAAGGCCCACCCAGTTGCCAGGGGGAGTGTCTGACCCTCTTTCTCGTTGGAAGCTTGTCTAGGTCATTGTAAGATCAGCCCACAGGATGGGAGATATTGTGGTCATCTTCAAAAATGCCCCAGCCGCCCAGCCATCCCTCACTGATGGCCCTGGCAGAGTGGCCTGGAGTGCTTTGAGGGGGGAAGGTGGCCGCGCAGCCCACGTGGGCCTTCGGGGAGCAGAGGACCTGACCACGCTAGTCGTTCGGGCCCTGCATGGTGGTGGCTTACATGTGACCCCTTGGGAGGTGGAAGCTGCTCCCCAAATTTTTTTTAAGAATTATTTATTTATGCATACAAGAGCTTGGGTGCAGGCCAGAGGTGCGTGGGGTGATTCTCCATAGAGAGTGGGGAGCAGAACAGGCAGATTGACAGAAACACACTGCTGAGGGGAGCAGTGGGGAGACAGGAGAGGTCGGTGCGCCCTGTGGGTCCCTCCCTGGCCGGGGATTGAACTCGTGCTACAGTGGCTGCTGTAGCTTCATAGTGCTGCGCTGCACCTATGAGCACCCGGTGCTGCTCCCTGCACCACCAGAGAGGCCCTCCCTGACTCTCCTAAGCTGGCTGGCCATGTGACTGGCTTGGCCTGACGCGGTGGGAGCCAGGCTGCAGCTGAATCTCTCCGGACTGGGGGACCCCAGGCTGTGAAGACACACAGCCCAGACTGCTGAGAGCTGGGCGGTTGTGTGGGAACTGAGATCCCCAGCCAAGAGCCAGCATTAGTTTCCAAGGGGAGGCTGAGGACATTTGGGACAGTCCTGACGGAGTCCCCGCAGGAGTGACCTCAGATGAGCCACAGGCCACCACGCTAATCCCAAGAGGTCCTTGCTGTGTGATGCTCAGCTCTGCAGACTTGGCCTGGGGGTAGCTTCCGACTCTGGTTCCCAACCCCCATGAGCACCTGGGGGGACTTGCTGCTCCCAGCCAGGGAAACGGGGGGCAGCTGTTGCCGCCTCCTGGGTCACAGACCAGGCCTCCAGGGAACATTCTGGAGGTGGCAGACCCTGCATTTTTTTTTTTTAAAGATTTATTTATTTGTACATACAGAACTGGGGTACAGCCAGAGGCTCAGGGGCAGCGAGAGGCTTCACCAGAGACAGAGTGGGGAACAGAACAGGCAGATCGACGAAGTATACTGCTGAGGGGAGCGGCGGGCGGGTCAGGAGAGGTCTGCCACGCCATGTGGTCTCCTCCGGGGTAGGCGGGAATTGAACTCATGCAGAAGCGGCTTTAGATTCTCAGTGCTGTGCTTTAACCCGCTGCGCCACCAGGGAGGGCCCCCCTGCATTTTTTTTGAGTTTCATCTTCCCTCGTTGCCATGCACGCTGCCCAATGTTTTCCACGGCCTGTGGGTGTTGACGTGGTCACTGAGATGGCCCAGGGTGCATCTGGAAGGACAAGGAAGACCAGGAGTCCAGCCAAAAGCTGGACGCGCTCTTGCATCAGGCCTAGGAAGGAGCGTTGCTGCCCCGCTGGGTGAAGGCAGAGGCCTCTGGGCATCAGAGCCAACAGAAGCAAGGCAAACAAGCCTCCAGGCTGGTGACTGCCCTCAAGGCCAGGGCCGCGCTGGCTTCGCTGAGGGGAGCACTGTCTGGAACGTCCACGGTGACCCGGGTCGACTGGTTCTGTCTCCAAGCTCATTCTCCAGAAAACAGACCCATCTTTTTTCTCTCTGTTGTCTTGAAAACTTACAACTGAAACCCACCAAGGGGGAAGGCCGACTTTCCTTTCCATAGCTGTTAGGGAAGCACAGTGTGTCCTACAGACAGCCCTGAGCGCCCTGACAGGAGGCGTTTGCACCACGAGCAGGCTCAGCCGGCGGGCGCAGCTCTCTGAGGAAATGCAGCACACGTCCATGGGGGCCGTGTCTGTAGGTATGTGCAGCGCACGGCTATGATTTTTGCAAACGACCACTGACATATTAAAACACAAGTACTTATGTTATATGGACCTATTTATTGAATGGAACTGTTGCATATTCTAGGCTTTTTTTTTTTTTTTTTTAACCAAGGGGCCCCCAGAAAAAGCACCTGAGACACTCAGGGCTGGGTGTGGGGGCCTCTATCACAAGCCCTTGGTAGGTTGGAGATGTCAGAGCTGGGCACCCTGGAGTGGGTTCACACAGCCCCTGAAGGTGACTTGGTGACTTCCAGCAGGAAACCTGGCCTGTCCGCACCACCTCAGCAGATTGCCCTGGCCACTCTGGGCCCCCGGGCCTACGTTTCACACGAGGAGGAGGCAAATACAGCCACCTGGAGCCTTGGGAAGTCCCGGCGCTCAGGCGGGGAGCTGGAGTCACAGCTAGGCCGCGTGTGCAAAGTGCTGCTCCTTCCCATAGGGCTGGCCTCCCGGGCCGAAGCCCTGAGCCCAAACAAACCACACGAAGGAGTGGCCGTTGCCAGAGGCCCCAGCACTGCCCTTCACTGGGGGCCTGTCTGGATCTTGGTCACAGACAATGCACCACTCACGGGCATCATCCGCCAAAGCCACAAACCACCGGTCCCTCCATCAGTGGGGTCAGCCTAGGGGTCCTCATGCTGCAGTCTCACGCCCAGAGCCAGGATGCTGGGAGGTGGCCGTCCGGTCAAGAAGCAGGACGGGCCCTGCGCTTGGCATGGAGCTGCCAGGCCCGCCGCCCTGTACACCAGTTACTTCCCAGTGCCGCACCCATTCCCTAGCCGAGGCCCAGCCGGGTGCAGGCACCTCCTTGAGCTCAGGAGGCCGTGTTACTTCTGAACCCCCAGAATGCCTCCCCAGTCTGTCCCAGTAATATTAAACATTTTATTGGGCTCCTGGCACCGGTCCTCGGGGGTCCTGGCTCTCCTGGGCCCAGTTCAGCGTGGGAAGATGCAGAGGTTTCCAATGTGGTGAGGAAGCGCCTGGGCCTCACCTCCAGGAGTGGCTTGGGGGTGGGCCCCCAAGGGAGGCTGACTCAGCCAGGCTCTGTCCCCTCTCCCTCTCCCGCTGAACAGCACTGCTGGGGCGCTTGAGGGAGAGGGGGGTCTGGCCCCAGCTGAGAGGCTGCGCTTTAGCCCCTGGGAAACCTGGCTGGTGGGACAGGGCAGCAACCGCCCACCAGCCTCCGCGACAAGGAGCTCAGGCAGCCCTTGGGGGTTTCCAAACATGGCGAGGCCCCTGCGAGCGCATCTTCCGTTTTGCTGGTGTGGGGGAGAGTGGTCAAATACTTCAATAACACAGACATTTAATGGATGAAGCAACTCTGGCCCCTGGAGAGGGGCCAGACTGGGCTCCCGCGGCTGCAACCCCCGGCCCTGACGGCAGGTGGCGCCAAAGGCCCGCTCTTCGACGATGACCGGGGGACGCCGGACGCGCGGAGTCAGTCCGAGCAACCAGCAGGGAACCCGCGTCTGGACCGACGGAGCGGAGAGCCGCGAAGGGAGAACGCCAAGGCCGGCTCCCATGCCTCCCGGTCAGGGGCCAGAGGTGCGAAGGCGCGTGAGTCGGACTGTCAAACCCGTCAGGGCAGAGAAAGACTTCGCGAACCCCGGGCCAAGGATGGGCGGGGCTTGCGAGTCGAGAAGGCGGGGCCTAGTGTGGGCGTGGCTTGTTTAAGTAGGAGGCGGGGCCCGAGGGAAGCGGCTCGATTACGTTCGCTGAGTGGGCGGTACTTGTGCGCAAAGTCCCGAGCGCGGGCCCTCTTGGTGGGTGGGACTTAAGGGACCGTCAGGGGCGGGGCTTGTGGGCATTCTTAGTGGGCGGGGCCGGACTCTGTGGAGGTAGGCCGCGACCTCAGCGTGAAGCCTTTAAGTAGGAGCCCCGTTGAGGGGGCGGGGCTCGAAGCTGGGGCGGAGCTTTCCGAGACACTAGAGGGCAACGCTTTAACTCGTGGAAGGGGGCTTGCATCTCTCCCGGGGTTTCTGTCTCTGAAGGAAACCCTGCTCTCGCGGGTGGCGCGGGCCGTGCTAAGGGGCGGGGCTTGTATCTCCGTGGTAGGCGGGGCACGTAACACTGCGCAAGGTGAGTGTGAACTCTGGGCGGGTGCCAACGCTCGGCAATGGGAACCGCGCTGAGGGGGCGCGCCAGCCGTGCTGCCTCAGCAGGGGCGGGGCTTGAGCGCTCAGAGGACGAGGCGCGTGACCTCGGTGGGCGGGGCCTCTGAGAGCGCGTGGGGGTGTTGGACCTCTGTGGGTGGGCGTGGCGCGCATCTCCGAGGGGCGGGGCTGGCAGTGCCGCTTCCGGGTGCGGGCCGGGGTGGTGCCTGGTGGGGCGGGGCCCGGGACCCGACTCCGAGGCTGGGCGGGCCCGTGCCGGGGCGGGGCTCTGCCCCGGGCGGCCGAGTGTTTAGGCCCGCACGCAGCTCCGCATCTGGTGCTCATTACCGGATGACAAAGAGCCGGCCCCGGGCCCCCTTCCCCGTCCCATCCCTCCCTCCACCGCGCTGCCTTTAACTCCTTCCTGCCCCCGCGGCGCTCCGGGTCCCTGCCCAGGCCGAAGGCAGCGCCCCAGTCCTCCCCCACTGGCGAGCTCGGCTTGCGCCCACCTCCTCAGACCCGGTGTCCGGGCCCCTTCGTGACCCGACTCCCACCCGGCGAAGCTCTCCAGCGGCGTGTCCGAGGTTAAAAGCTTGTGAGGATCTGGCTGGGGCGTCTGGTTTGAGTTAGGGAAACGTGAGGGCGGGGGTGGGAGGCCGGGGGCGGGGCGGCGCGTGGCATTCCCTCCGCCCCTTCCGCGCCCCACCCCCAGTCCCAAGCCCCGACCCCTGGTCTCCTGGGGCCTAGCCTGTCTGCCAGCCCCAACCCAGTGCCCGGAGGCAAAGGGTGGCAAAGGACTGGGGTGGGGAAGGGGGCCCTGGGCCACCCCTCTTTGCCTGCCCGGGTGGTCGTGCTGGCTCTGCCCCGGCCTAATTAGAGGTCCTTTAGAGGGTGCCACTGAAAAAAATTACAGAGGCAGTGGGAACCGGCGCCTCCCAGCCCAGCTCCGTCTCTCCAGCTCCCCAAGGCAGGGAGCCCAGGATGAAGGAGGTTGCCACTTTTAGGGGACACCTCACACGTGACCAGACTGCTCACTCAAGCTGGGGCCTCCTGGGTTCTCTCTGTCCAGACATCCCTTAAGGAGAGGGGCCAAGTGTGACCCCAGGTGGGAAGGCCTTGCTCTGGTGACCACTCAGGGAACACTGAGTGTGGGCTCCCTCCTGGGTTCTCTGCTTTCCTTACCCCAGCCTGCTAGACTGGGGTTCACACCTCTCCGCCAGGGCTGGGTGGAGGAACACCTCCAGAGTACCTACAACCTGGGGGGCAGCACCCTTGAGGGACCCTCAGCCCTAGTCACCACCTTCTGTGCAGCCTGAGGAGGGTGAAGGGGAGCGCCAGAGGGCAGCTCACCCCTAGACCCCTTCACTTCCCAGAATCACCAAGCCCGGAATTTACCTTGCGTCTCTAAAGCCACGTGGCTCCAATTCCTGAGAAACCCACTTTGTGGAACCTTTCTCCCAGATTCAGCCCCACCTTGTCGGAGTTCTGGCAACAAAAGGAACAAACATGGGATTCTCCAGGTGCCAAAGCTGCCACTCGTGGTCTCACTGTGAGCTTGAGCAAGGCGCTGCCCTCTCTGGGCTCCTGCTTTCCTGGGACTTTGGCTAATCGCTGAACAACAAGGCCTTAAGGTCTTACTGACTTCCTTTGGGGCCCAGACAAGCTCCTTTGTCTGAGTCCTCCCAGACCCGCCCCCAGGCACCAAGGAGGGCCAGGAGCTCTAGGTGAGGTTGGCATCCCATTTATTGGAGAAGATCCCAGCACCCCGCTCCCTGAGGTCCTGGGGGCTTCGGCGTCTCCTCTGTTGGGCTAGGGGGCAGTTTCCAAGAGTTTACTGAGAGCCTGGCTGGGCCCTGGGAGTGGGGGGACACAGGAAGTCCTGTGTCCAGAGGAGCAGCCCCCGTGGGTCCCTGGTACCGCCAGGGCCCTGTGCCCAATGCATGCCCCTTCCCTCCGAGCCTCCTGCAGAGGGCGGGGTGGCACCCCATCATCACACGCTGGTTCTGCAGGTCTGCACCCCTGTGAGGCTGCCCCTGTGGGGCGCAGGTTCCGTTGAGCCCTTGCTCCCCGTGTGGGTGACCCAGCGATAGCAGTCAGTGACACGTTTGTTGGGTGCGTGGGGGCCGCAGCGGGTGCAGTACACAATGCCCAGTGCGAGCAGGACCACCAGGAAGACACAAGTTGGCACCAGGAGTGCCACCAGCAGCCACCGGTCATCCCTCCGGCTGTGACCCGCTGGACTGGCCTCGCCGAGGGCTGTTGGGGCTGCTGTGGAGCCCGCTGCCGGGGCCAGCGTGTGCTCAGGCTTGCCTGCCCCTGGGACTCTTGAAGGAGGATGTGAGGAGCTGGTGGGTGAGGCCTGATTAGTGGGGCTCTGCGAGGGCGGGGGAGTGTGGAGGCCTGGGGGTGGGGTGACAGCTGGCACGGGGACTTGACGGACAGGGAGTCCCGGGGACCTGGGAGTAGGGGCCAGGGGATGCTGAACAGCAGAGACAGGAAAGGGGCTGGTCCAGACTTTTAGGTCTGGGATGTCTGGCGTCCTGGGGGGCTGGTGGGCAGGAGAGGTGGTGGCCAGAGGATTGTGGTCAGCTGGGGTGGGAGACAAGTGTGTGGCGGCCTGGGTGTCTGGAAACATTGGGGAAGGGTGGGCAGGGGACATGGCAGGATATTTAGCTGAGGTCACAGGGGGCGGATGGGCAGCAGGCAGGTCTGGAGAGCGGGCTGGGGACTGGGAGACCCGACGGTCAGGGGGCAAAGCTGTGTCCCTGGCCAGGGCTGGGGATGGGAGCAGGGCAGAAGGCCATGTGGGCCGCGTGGTGGAGGCCACCGCAGGCCGGGTGACAGAGAGCACTGAGGAGTGGTAGGGGACCCTAGGGGCACTGAGCGGGGGTGGCCCTGTGGGGTCCCAGGAGGCCATCAGCTGCTCGCTGCTCTCTGAGAAGCTGGAGGTATAGGCCAGGCTGTAGTCGGGCGAAGGCTCCTCGTCCTCTTCGCCCCCCTCGAACTCTTCGCCGCCCTCGAACTCTTCGGCCCCCTGGTCCTCTTCGCCCTCCTCACCCTCCTGGTTCTCCAGCTGGTGTCCGAGCCCCGGGGAAGCCGGAGGCCCCGCGGCCCCGGCAGGGCTGCAGCTGACGCCGTCCGCCTCCAGCTCGTGGCCCTCGCTGCAGTAGCACTCGAAGCCACCGATGTAGTTCACGCACATCTGCTGGCACACGCCAGGGATCTGGCACTCGTCTGTGTCCACACAGCGGTGTGGCTCGTCGTCCGAGGGCCGGAAGCCCAGGCGGCAGTGGCAGCTGTAGCCCTGCGGCCCGCCGGGCTCACACTGCTGCTCGCAGGGGGCGTGCGTGCAGGCGTCCTCGCAGCTGCGCCCGTCCTCGGCCAGCCAGAAGCCCTCGGTGCAGCGGCAGGACGCGCGGCCGTCCCACTCGGCCACGCACTGCTGCTCACAGGACCCGTTGTCCAGGTCGCAGCCGCTGGGGCACAGGGGCCCGGCTTGGGACCAGACCACACCCCCCTCGGGCTGCTTCATGCAGAGCAGAGAGGCTTCTCCGCCCGCCTGGCACTTCACAGCCACCATGGAGCCCAGGGGCAGCCACTGCAGCTCGGTGGAGACCAGGTGGAAGGGCGTGGTGTAGACGGCTGGGCCGGTGTGGCTCGCCTCACCTGGCAGCGCTGGGCAGGCACCCTCGAAGCCGAACTGGCACAGGTAGCCGTCCACGGGCAGCGTGCACGAGCCCTCCAGCCAGCGGTGCTCACCGCTCGCCTCCAGGGCTGCACAGCGCTGGGCCGGGCAGGGCCCGCCCGTGGCTGGCTGGGCCCAGTTGGTGAAAGCCGTGTCCTGGTCGCCCGTGGTCCACATGAAGCCCCGCAGTGGGCGCTGCGGCTGGCAGTGCCGGGGCTGCCGCTGCAGGCCAATCCACAGCAAGCCGCTGGCCGAGCTGGTCCCCACCAGGCTGTCCACGCTCTGGGCCTCCTCGGGAGTCCGCGGTGTGGCTAAGTCCCCCCCCAGCTCCCGGCAGGCCCTCCAGGCTTCCAGAAAGGTGTTGCGCCGCAGGAAGAGCACGTAGCAGCTCCCGGGGCCGCAGGTGGCATGGGGCTCGGAGGTCCAGGGGGCCTGGCCCAGCGCGGGCACGGCGGCCGCCCAGGCCAGCAGCAGGCGCAGCAGCATCGCGAGCCCCCCGACTGGCTGGGGCCTGGCCTGCAGCCGCTCTTGACAGGGGGAGGGGCCGCCGGGCGGGCGGCGGGCGTGCCGCGGGCGGAGGCCAGGCCTTGTAAGGAGTGGGCTGGGGCCCTGCCAGCTCCCGGGCTCCCCCGGGCCGCCAGAGCAGGAAGCCGTCGGGCTGGGGCGGGAGTGGGGGTCTGGGTGGGGGTGTGGGGAGAGGCGGCGCGGGCGAATGGGGGCCAGAGTGCAGGACGCGGGAGGCAGGAGCGACCCTCAGGGTCCCGGCTAGGGAGGGCCGCGCTCCCGCTCCCGGCCGGTGAGTCGCTTCCCAGGGCCGGAGCCCAGACCTGGACCCGCGACCTCATCACACCCCTGAGCGGCCGGGCGCCTGCTTCATCCCTGTCAGCCTCCTGACTCGCGGCTTCACACGCACACGTGTGGAGGCCGCCGTCCCGCAGCCTCCGACCCCCTTCCTCCAGCCGCGCGCAGGCCCCCCGCCCCCACCCCCCCACCCCCCGTGTGCCGCCGCTGCGGCCACCTTGGCCTCAAGGCCAGGGACTACACCCTCGACCCCTGCTTTCCATGGGCAGCTCCGGCCTCAACCTCCCCACCCGTCCTGGCTCCCGCTGACTGGTGTGGACCAGGCGGGCGGGGCTGCCCTCCTTCACCTCTGCTCAGCCTGGGGCCCTGGGAACCTGGGCTCGAGGGAGAGGAGGCCGCCCCCAAACAGGAAATGCTTCCCCGCTCCTGCTGCAGGAGGGCAGGGTGCGCGGGGGAGGGGCCGGCGCGCAGGATGAGCGGGCTGGGGAGGACACTGGCCAGAGCCCTGGCAGGCCCCAGGCATCCAGCGAGCGTGCGGTGTGTGCGTCTGGGACACGGCACCGCTTGTGTGCCCCCTCTGTGTCCCCGAGGCCGGACAGGGCCCTCGTCCGTCCATCCCTCCCTTGCAGGAGCCCCCGGTGCAGGAAGGCCCCTGGGGAGTTCTGGCCTGGGTGGGCAGATGTGTGGTGCACTGCTTGTGAAGTTGGGGTGGGGGTGGAGTGGGGCACAGGCCTGGGAGGACCAGGGTTGGGGGCCAGGAGCAGAGGTCAGCGCTTGGCGCCCTGCCCTGGTCCAGCTTCTCGCTCTGCCCCAGTCTTAGCTGTGTGATGGTGGGAAAGTCTCTGACCCTCTCGAGTCTCCATTTTTCTTATCTACAAACAGGGGCAACGTGTCAGGGCTCTCGGGCTCAGCAGGGCTGTTGGATCACCACACTCAGGGTTTGCAAATGTGCTTTGTCAGCTGCAGAGCATGAGGCAAACGTTCCTCTGTCTTCTGAGCAAATCGGGGAGGGGACGGGGACCAGCGCCAGCCTAGCCCTGCCGACACCCAGCCCTGCGGACGACACCACCGTCCCCCGGGAAGTGGCACTTTTGATGGACTTGCCCTGTGCCCAGACGTGCGTCCTTTCAGGGTGTCCATCTGCGAAGCTCGTCGACTTCTCCCTGCCGGAGAGGAAGGTTGGTCCTGCCATTGGCGCAGGCCCAGAGCCCTGAGATCATCCCCCAGCTCCTTCTCCCACACCCAGGGCCTGTCTCTCGGGCAAGTGCTGTTGGCTTCACTTTCAAAACAGACCGGGCCCAGTCGCTTCCCACCGCTTTCTTTGCTACCTCTGGCTGGGCTCTGTCTCTTGCCCCCTGCATCCTGCCCGAGGGATCCTTTTAAAATCAAAGTCAGATCAGTGACTTCGCCCCAGGCCTCTCAGAAGACAGGCCAGCGTGTGCCAGGGGCCCCAGCCTGTGTGGTCCCCCCCCCATCCCTCTGCTCCAGCTCCCCTGCCCGCAGGCTGCCCCAGTCCAGACAGGTGTGCCTCAGGCCTGCGCACACTCTTCCTCAAGGTTCCAGGGCCACTTCCCTTCCTAGTGTCTCAACTCAGGTGTCCAGCCCCTAGCCCCACCCAGGGGTCCCTGAGCCCCAGTCTTAGTCCACCTTTCTCCTCACACTGCTCATGATCTGGCAAGGTGGGTGTTTCTAGAACCCCCCCATAGACAGGACTTAAGTGTTACTGAAGGAGCAAGGAAGGAGGATTCCTTCTTGAGGAGCCTGTCTGGGCGCTGGAAGAGGTTTAGCATCACCCTTGGATTCGGCCTGGGTGCGGTAGCATCCCTTGGGGGAATCGGAAGTGGCTCTGACATCACCAGTGTCACTTCCCTTGGGGGCATCCTCACCTTGGGGCTCTAGCCCAGGAGACAGCACCTGGAGAGCAGGGTCAGCGACTTGTCCCTCCCAGAGCCACGGGGGCCCCGCACAGGCCCTGGCTCAGCGATGTCACTCAAGAAGGGCTTGTACAGTGAATGAGTGACAGTCCAGAGACAGAGGGCCTGGCTCAGGTGGACACAGGGGAAAGCTGGGGCCTACCTTCAACCTACCCCTGCTCCCCACACTTACCTGGTCCTCCCCAGAGGTCAGAGCACCCTCCGACTGAGAGACCCCCGAGAATCAGCGAGAACTGGACGTGTGGGATCTCTCAGGCGAGGCCGCAGAGCGGCGCAACAGGAACTAGAACCGGCCTCTGGCCCCTCTTTCCCTGCGGTGCCTTGAGGAGACTGAGAGTTGGGTGTGGCGTGAGCATGGGAAGAAAGCCTCAGGAGGAAGGCAGAGCCGGGACAAGGGGGCCTTTGGGGGACAGTCCCTGGGCCTGGACTTCCAGAGGATCAAGGAGAGTGGACAGAGAAGATCACAGAGACGGGGAGCCCTGGCTGGGAAGGCAGCGAAGCTGCTCTGAGAGGCTGGGCCTCCATGGTGGGCGCCAGAGTGAAGAGTCTGGAAGGGAGATCCCTGTGCCAGGGCGGGGGGGGGGGGGGGGGGCACAGAGGGAGGACCCCAGCCGAGGCCAGGGACCAGCTAGGAGCTGTTGCAGTAGTCTGGGAGGGGGAGGAAGCTGGCAGGCGGCAGGGCAGCAGGGCGGGCCGGTTGGGGGAGGCAGCCTCGGAGGTTCCTTAGGGGCTGGCGGGAGCCGGGTCCAAGGGTGTGGTGAACCCAGTCATGATTCGGGCAGTGGCCTGTGCTGGGGCGTCTAAGGGGAGGCTGCTGGCCGTCTGGTGAGTGGGTGGGTCAGATCAGAGGTCAGGACTTCAGCCCCAGTCTGGGTGAGGGATTGGGGGACCGACCGGCAAGGAAAGTGGGAGGAGGGTCAAAGGCCAAACTCCAGATGGTCACTGGGCCTGCTTGCAAGAGGAGGGAAGCCTAGGCCAGGACAGGGCATGCAGGGGTGGCGTAGAGGAGAGCAGGACACCTCTGACCCCAACAAGGCTGAGGGCTTTGTTGCTAGAGGATGAGGGTGGCAATGCCTCAGGGCACCCAGTATGGGTGCCCAGGACTCCGTGAACCCCGTTCAGGTGGGGAGAGGTGGGACTGGACCTGGCAGGGAGCCTCCTGCCTTAGTTGGGATGGGGATGCCATGGGCCCAGATCGGGGTTCAGGAATCTGTGCTCGGGGGTGAGGGGATAGAGAGGGGCTAGTCTTTCTGCTCGCCCCATTCAGCCTGACTCATCTTGGCTTCTCCAAAGCACAGAAAAGATGCTAATAGAAGCGATAAGTACTGGCAGGGTGCGGGGGTGGACACCTGAGTGGACGGATGGATGCATGGTGTACACTACAGAGATGCAGGCATAAGTGACTGGACGGACGCGTGGACACGTGGGTGAACGAATGGGGGTGAGCGAAAAGCTCACGTGTCTGCCCCGACCGGCGCAGGACGCGTGCGCGGATGCACGGGGCGGAGCGTGGCCCCGGAAGCCGTCAGATGGGAGGATGGTGGCGAATGGGTCGGGCCGTTGGTGGATGGAGGAAAGAGTAAGGGGTGGATGGACAAATGGCCTAAGTGGACGGGTGTGTGGCGAGGAGACAGGCATGGTTGGATCCGGGCCTTGGGGCAGAGGTGGGAGGCCCCAGTTCCTAACTGGCAGCTGCTGTGGTGAAAGGGCACGCCCAGAACGTGCTTCTAGGGCTCTGTGGGGTGCAGCAGGAGGCCGACAGCCTGGGCTGCACACAGGGATCCTGGGGGGTGCTTCCCCCGGGGGCTCACAGCCTCTTTTCCTTTGGGGTCTGAGGCTAATGTGTGTCCCTGGCTGGGGTGGGCACAGCTCACATCACGGGTGAGGAGGTGGGTGAGGAGGTTGGGGTTCCCTGCTGTGATCACTGCCAAGATGGGGCCACCTCACCATGAGAGCAGCATGGAGGCAGAAGCCCACTTCCCTGCACAGCTCGTCTCCCGGCCACGTGGAGGAACTGGGGGTTTGGATGCACTGCAGGCCCCCCGGGGCTGAGGGGTGAAGCGGCTGGCAGAAGGCCGGGCCCAAAGAGGAATTGGTGGAACAGCCAGGATGGGGGGGTCGAGTGTGATTGGGGGGCGCCCCCTGGGCAGGGCAGGCCGCTGAGCCAGCACATTGCTTTGTGCACAAGTCACCTCCTTCCTCCTTTCTCTTTGTCCCCTCCCCCCACCTCCCTCCATTTCTAATTTCTTTCCAAACCACCCCAGCCTTTGGGTTGTCAGGAGGAAGGGCCGTGGGTGGAGGCCTTGGGTCTTAGGTGGGGAGGTGGGGGGGGGGAGGCCCCTGGGGCAGCGGCAGGACTGGGTGGAGCCACGGTGGTCTCCTCCCCTCCCCACCAGCCACTGCCGCACCCTGCTGCTGGGTGGGAGAGCCCACCTAAGGGCGGTTTGGGGAGGTGACCGGGAAGAGGGGGCACCGTCCAGGCCTGGCCCCAGGGGTAAAGGATTCTGACAGCTGGGGGGGGGGGCTCCAGGCAGAGAGAGGCCCTGCACATGCAAGCGGATGTACCTAGGTCCGCACGCGCGCAGTCACCAGCCGCAGCAGGTGTGCGCAGCTGGGGGATGTGAGGGTGTCCCTGCGGGCCCACACCTGCCCCCAGCTGTGAGGGAGAAGCACAGGGCTGGCCCTGGATCGCCCAACCTGGTCCCAGCTGGGGCCCAGTCCCTCTTCTGGCAGGCGCCTGACTGGAACATCTGGCCACATCTGGCCAAGGGAGGGCATCCTGGAGCCCACATCAGCGCTCCCCCTCAGGGGACACAGACGGAGGAGTCTGGCCTCAGGCCACTCTGGGGGTGGAGGCAGAGCTGTGGGGACCCCAGGCCCTCGCTGCTCTCCCTCCCGCTGGCGCCCCACAGCTGTGGCGCTCCAGGAGAATAGTGCGGCCGGCCTGGCTGCAGGCTCTGGGGAAGTTCTGCGGGGACTTCTTGGGCTGTGGGTCCCTCATCTAGGCCCACCCTGACCGCTGCCCCCACCTGCCCAGCTCCTCCCAGTCTGCCAGGCAGTTTCCTGTCTCAGCACCCAAATGCGGCCTGCCATTGGCCCTCAGCCCCTGCCGGCTAGGGTGGTGTGGCCGGTGGCCGGACCTTTCTCCACCAGCCGCCCCTCTGGAACCTGCCCCTTCTTCAGGCCCCCTCCCTGCCTCCTGGGTGCCCTCCCCCTGCTGCTGGGTCTCTTCCTACCCTTCGGCTGGGCTGTGCTGGTCTCCAGCCTCCTGTCTTGTCTCTGGGGAGTCTCCGCTGTCCCTCGGGGTGCCACCTAGGGATCCTCTGTCCCCTTGGTCCCCTGCTCTCTGGTGTCCCCACCGTTCCCTGGCCCAGGGTCTCTGGCTTGCCACCTTCCCTGGGTGGTCCAGCAGCCCTCCTCCCCCCTCCACAGGGCTGGCTGGGGTGGGAGCCAGTCTGAGGCTGTGACCCGCAGGGAAGTGGAACCCAAGCAGACATGATATTTATGTTAGGACTTCAAAGGGCAGCAGAGCCCGCCTGAGGGGGGCTGTGGGGGCAGCGGTGTGGGGGTGGAAGGCGGCTCATGCCCCTCCCCACCGAGATCTCCTTGGCGACAAGCCTCCAGCACCTCCCCCGTGGGACACTGACCTAAAGCAGGGGCGAGGGCTATTTTGGTGCTGAGTGGCTAGGAAAAGCACTTCCTGCAGCCCTGCCTGCCCCCAGCCAGGGCCTGTCTTCCTGTCACCCGCAGGGCAGCTGGGTCCTCTGGGCTTCAGCCTGGCCCCGGGGCAGGGACTGAGGAGGCGTGGCAGAGGCCCGTCTCGGCAGAAACACATCCCTGGCACTAGGACAGTGTGCGTGTGCTGGGCTCTGGCAGGGGCCTCGTCTGGCTGAGCAGACAGGGCCTGTAACCCTGTCGTCCCCGACCAGCCAGGTGGCCCTAGGGTCCCTGGGGGTGCCAGGGCTGCCCCCAGGGGCTGAGAGGCCAAGACGTCCTGTGAAGGTCACCCCACCCACGGCCTCACCCCTGCTAAAGACACCCAGCTGCTAGGGCTGGGAAGGCCTGGGGTCAGGGGCCCCGTGGGTGGGGTGGCGGGCGGGACCGATTGTCTCATCCTGTGCTCAGCTCAGCGTAAACCCCTCCCAGGAGCGGGCCCAGCGGAGACCCCTTCAGACTGCATCACCCCCTCGGGAAGTCCCCTCCCCTGCTGAAGCCTTGCTCCAGGCCCACGTCCTCTGTTCTGGAGCCCACCCAGGCCCTGAAACCCCTGGCTCCTGGGCTGGTGCCCCCGGAGACCCTCTCCTGGCGCCTGCCGCGAATCACTGCCTGGGATGTGATGATCTCAGGCCTCCTGCCCAGGGCTGCCGCTCGGCCGCCTGCCTGGCCGGTGGGGTCGCCATGTTCCTCTCAGGCTTCTTAGCCATTCGGCAGCCCCACCAGGATCCACATGGGGTGGGGAAATAAGCAGTGGCAAGGATAGGTCAGGGCTGGGGGCGGGCTCCCAGGGCAAGGGCTGAAGCTCTTCCACCCTGCGCTCCCCCCATCGCCCCCCCTCTCTCGGGAAGGTGTGCCAGGGAGGCCATGGAACCAGCTGTCCAGCCCTGCTGGGCCCAGCACATGTGAGGGCGAGTCCAGGGAGGCTGTGTCAGGGCTCAGAGGCGGGCCTGTCCATGTCCCTTGTCCCATCCCGCAGGGCACGAGTGGCTGACACTGGGTGTCCCTGGTAAGATTGGGGGTGCCGGGTGTCACTGAGCACCACTGTGGCAGAAAATGTGTCACACACTGTGCAAAGGTGAGACAGGTGTTTCTGTGCTCCATGGTAGGTGTGAGGAGGGCACAGGGTCCCAGCCGGGGCTGTGTTGAAGGTGAGTGGGGGTCTCAGTGACTGCTTTCCTCCCCACGCCAGGACCCTCTGTCTTAGTCACCTTGCTGACCTTGCCCCACCCCCGGCCTACGTGGCCTGGACCCGCAGATGGGGGTAGGTAGCCCCTCTCCCCTTCTTCACAGAACCCTCCGTTCACAGGAGGGCCCGGCCCTTGGGCGGGCTTCTTCCCTCCCTCCCGCACCAGCGGGGCGCGGGTCCTCCGAACTGCGAGCGACGGGAGCGGTGTGCGTGCGCCCCCTGGCGGCGACGGTGGGAGCTGCGCCGCCCGGCCCCGACCTGGAGGCCCGCGCGGGCCGGGTCTTCCCGCCTCAGCCCCTCCACCTACCACTGCTGAGTGCCAGTTCCGGACCGGGCATTGTTCTCGGCCCCTGAGATTTAGCCGGGAACCAGGCCAACTTGGCTCTGGCCTTTTAGTGGGGAAGACAGTAAACAAACTCGCACTAGAACTCCAGTGAATCTCGAGGTGATGGGTGCATTTCCAAGGGAGGAGATGGCGGCCGCTCTGGCGCGGGGTGCATCTCTCCCGGCCTCGCCTTCTTCCAGAGGCCAAGGGGGTAGGCGGCCGGGTGTGGGGCGGGGCTCCCTACTACTCGCAGGCTCGTCTCCCTCAGGCTGGAGCTGTGTGGGCTTGGTCCACAGGCAGGCTCAGTAGGTCACTGCCGAGTGGACGGGGAGTGAGTCCCTATTTCGCGGGACCTCAGAACCGGCGTCTGAGCCCTGGCCTGTGCCAAGCCCCTCGCCCTGTGCAGTCTGTTTCCTCCTCTGTAAAGTGGGGATGTGGCCAGCCTGCCCCCCTCGGCCCCAGCCTGGTTTCCTGAGCCTGTCAAGCTGCTTCACCCGACCTGGACCCCAGACCCAGCAGCATCTCTGGAGAAGGTGAACCATAGAAGCAGAGGGAGCAGGCAGGGCCGGGCAGGGCTCTAGGGAGCCAAGGCGGGGCTGGGAGTTGGGCCTGAGCACCAAAAGGCGTGGGGCGCGGAGGCCCCCAAGGCAGACGCCCAGGGGACTCGGCCAGGCCTAGTTCCCGCGAGACAGCTCTGCATCCGGCCCTGGGCTTGGGAGCACCCCCTCAGCCATTCCAGGTCCTTCCTCTGAGACTGCACCGGAGACATCCTGTTTGGTTCCTAGAACCCTGCCCTCTCTTAGCCTGCTTCCACCTCGCTGCCCCTGGCTTATTGTCAGACTCCAGTCAGCAGATAACATTTATTGAACGCCTGTGGAGTGTCCAGCACTGTGCCAGGCGCTGGGGTGGGCATGGGGGAGGGAAGGCAAACAGAAGAGCCTGGGGATCCCTGCCAGTAGAAACGGGAGGTAGGGGCTGGTGAAATGTGGGAGCCCTGGACCTGGGCTGTGTCTGGGTGGTCTGACTCCAAGGTCAGTGCTCCGACCTGTGTGTGTCTGTGTGTGTGTAGGGGGGTGCTGGTGTCCGTTTGTGACCAGCACATCTGATCCCCAGATCCCTGGTTCCAGGGGAGTTGGGGCCTGCAGGCTCGGCCCCCACTGCAGGTTGGGGGGGGCGGGGCTGCAACCTGCCATAAGGTGACCTCCGGGGTTGCTGGGCCCGGGAGTCCCCGCCCAGCCCCCCCAGCTCCTTGGGCCACGCTCGCCCCCTAGTGGTGGTCTCTACTGTGTTCTTGGTGGGTCTGCTGAGGCTCTGGGCTCCTAGGGCGCCTTTGGGGCTGCAGGGCCTGGAGGGTTAATTTACTGGTGTCTTAGAGCAGAGGATGTAGTAGGCTCCTGAGCAGAGGTTTGGGAGGGGGAGCCCCAGTGGCCTGCTGGATCAGGTTCCTGCCACACCCTGCCCGAAACACTCTTCTGCCATCCCAACATGCCAAGCTCAGAGAAATGCTTTCAAAGCCCTCCTCCATTCCGAAGCCTCTCCCTGCCAGCGTCATCGCTCTGTCCAGCTCCCTTGGGATGCCAGAATGCCTGAGGACGTCCCCTTGGGGGGAGATTGGGGCTTGCTACTTCCTGGCTGGGAGCTGACCTCCGGATTCCCCAGGGCTGCTGTGAGAAAGGCCCTTGGGGGAGGGGCTGGGTGTTGCTCCCACCCCACCTCCTTCTCTCCCTACCCCCCCTCCATCTGAGCTCCAGTCAGGTGGCCTCTGGTGGGGGGCGGGGCAGCAGATAGCCCCACTTCCTGGGGGAGGATACCGGCTTGGAGGTGGGCTGTTGGGCTCAGACCCTGCTGCCTCGCTGATTTCCCCCAAGGGGTGGAACTCTTCAGGACACTGAAGCCGTAGCCTGGAGTGGGCTTCTGGGCAGCTGCCCTGGCCGAGGCTGTACCCCTCCAAGAAGGGGGGGATTGCAAAAAGGGCGGGGACAGAGCTCCTCCCCAGCGCCAGAGGTCTCGGGCTGGAGGACAGGAGGCCGTGGCCTTGGGCAGTTGGTCCGAGGTCCTCTGAGCCCCCTCAGTTTTACTCCAGCCCCTAGATGTGCCCAATCCAAGTGTCCCCAGCAGGTGTGATCAAAGATAAGCAGGTGGTGAGGACACGGGAAAGGCCCTGGGCTGGGCGAGGTGAGGGGCGCTGTGGCTGGTGGCTCGGAAAGGCCTTCCCCGCACGCTGCCCCTCCTGCCCCAAGGACACTCCGGTCAGTCACTTCATCTATTCCTCTGCCACCCCACTTCCCGCAGCCTCTGGCCCCCCTGGCTGAGCAGGGGTCCCCTGGGGCTGGCCTTCACCCTCCTTGGCCCCCTGCACAGCTGCCTCAGAATCTCCCCTGCTGTCCCTGAGGCTGGCTTTGACTTCCATGTCACCATCTCCCCAGCCCGCTTTTTCCTCCTCCTTGCCCCCCAGCTCTGGGTCCCCACTGGCTGTCTCTGTTCCAGCCCCAGGGCTGGTCCCTGGGGCCTCGGGCCACTCTGCTCGGCGGTAGACCAGGTAGCCGGTGGTGGGGAGCCTGTGGGCCAGGGCTCCAGGGGGCAGGCGCTGGTAGCCCTGCTCCTTGTACAGATAGAGGCCAAACGTGCCAGGCTGGGGCACTCGGAACTTGGTGCCACAGAGCTGGCTCAGGGTGGCAACTGAGGCCCCTGGGGGCACGGCCAGGGTCTTGGAGGTGCAGCCACTGCTGGGGTCCTGATAGGCTACTCGGAGGAGGTGCTGTATGGGAGGAGAAGCAAAACAGGTGCTTAGCCCTGCCTGGTGGGCACCTGGCCCCCCAGCCCGAGGCCCCCCAGCCCGAGGCTCCTGCGTAGGCCCCCGGGTTGCTTGGGGGTGGGGTGGGGTGTGTGGGTGCCCAAGCAAGCGGCAAAGACTGTTGGGGCAGCTGACTTCCCGGGGGCCACTGCATGAGCTCCTTTGATCGTCACCTCAAGCCCAGGTGGTAGCTGCTATCACCCTACATTATAGATGAGAAAATTGGGGCACCGAGGTGTGACCTGACCTACCCAGGCTTCCCCAACCAGAGTTAGAATCTGCAGTTAGGATCTGCATCTCGCTAGAAGTCTGGACTCTCCGCAGAGGCTTGCAAGGGCCCCCGCCTGGTTCTGGGGGGGCACAGGGCGGGGGAGGGGGCATGAGCCGCCCTGAGGAAGCCCATATGGGCTGAGGAGGGGACAGAGTCCAGCTGGAGCAGAGGCCCGGACGTGGGCCTGAACGGTGCCCGGCCTCTCCAGGCCAGGTCTCCATGTCCTCATGGCCCTGTGCCAGCTTGGGGCTGAGGCCCCAGAGGGAGGAATGAACTTTCTACTGAAGGCTGCCTTTGGCCTGTGGGCCGGCCTGCTCTGTGTACTACACGGGCGTGGCCTCAGCCTGCAGCCCTCCCTGGGAAAAGGAGGGGACTGCCCCAGATGTGCCCTGCCCGGCCTGGAGGGAGGGCACGTGGCCTTTACCTGGGAGCTGTGGCTGGCAGGCAGGCGGCGCTGCTCCCAGAGGCGGAGGGCACGCTGCAGCTCCTGCGAGGGGGTCAGGGGGAGGCTATGGGTCTGGTCCAGGCCGCTCAGCAGGGCCAGGCTGGCCGAGAGGCTGGTCAGGTAGTAGCCACCTGGGACGTGGAGGAGGCCACTCAGATGGGGTGGGAGCTGCCTCCCACCCCCTTCCAGGTGGCCTCAGGGCGCCCTCCCCACCAGGCCGGAGGCAGGGGCGCCCTCACCCTCTCCAGAGAGCAGGGCGGGCTCGAGCAGCTCTGACATGTACTCGGCCTCCAGCAGCAGCTCAGGAAGGTCGCACTGGGCCAGGACCAGGCTCAGCAGCGGAAGGAACTCATCAGCCCCTGCGCCCTCCCCTGTGGAGTGATGGAGGAGGGAGCCTCAGCTCCTCTGGGAAGCCTGGGGCAGAGTTCGCTCTGAGCCTTGCTCAGAGAGGTGGCCCTCATCCCTCCCTCCTGGCCAGGGCCATGCTCACTGCGGCAGCAGGGACCCAGGGGAAGACCGAGCTCTCCAGGCCTCGGTTTCACCAGATGTGAGCTGGGGTGGTTGGACCCACGCCTCCCCCCCACCCCCAGCTTCTGTCTGTGGGGCCTGCCTCTGAGCCGCGGGGTCCCGGGGCGCACCAGCCTGGGATCTCAGTGCCGCGTACAGCAGCTGGCAGGCCTGCAGGAGCCGCTGGACCTGGGCACTGGGTGAGTAGGCGCCGAGCAGCTGCAGCAGCTTCTGGCGCACCTGCTCCACCTCCACTGAGGAGGGCAGGCCCAGGTGGGAGCCAAAGGCCGCGGGGCCCTGGGCTCGGGCCAGGCGGAGGCCTTCAGCCAGGCGACTCAGGGAGCCGTCGGCAGAAAGACGGCGCCGCAGGCGGGCGGCCAGGATGGGCCGGAGAGGCTTGAGCACAGAGCGATGCAGAGACTTCTCCAGGACGAGTTCTGGGGAGAAGAGGCAGGGGTCAGATTCTGGGCAGAGTCCCAGGGAGAAGGGGTGGGGAGGGAGGGAAGCAGAGGAGGCGGCATCTCGGCAAGCGGGACTCCTAGCTCGGTGCCACAAGGTGGCTCGTGTGGCAGCAGGCCGGGCGGGCATGATGGAGGCGGGAGGGAGGCGTGGGGCCGGGCTGGGGTCTCACCCAGCCTCTCTGGCGGCAGCAGCTTCTCAGGGCCCAGCTCCGTGCTCAGCATGGCTCGGGCCCGGCTCAGCGCCTCGCGGACGCCCTGCAGCTCCCGGGGCTCGGGCCCGGCCCGCACCTGGGTGAGCAGGTCCTGCACCAGCTGGCCCACGGCCGTGTGCCGATCCTGCATCAGCGCGGCCGCGGCCCGGCCCACCTGCCGCTCGGGCGCCAGCAGCGAGCAGAAGGCTGCGCTCATGGAGCGCAGCAGGGGCCGCCGGCGGCCCAGGTGGGGCGAGGTGGCCGGGCTTCCTCCAGACGACCGCTCGGCCCCTTCCTCCTCCGAGCTGCTGGGGGAGCCGCAGTCCACCTCCTGCAGGGAGGGCAGGGGGGGGAGACCAGGGCCGGCCCCGGCCCCGCTGGGCACGCGGTACCCCACCGAGCTCTCCCTCCGCAGCAGCTGGTGAGGAGGCAGCCTCTCCGTCTGGCGGGGGGCTGCCCCCGGCAGCTCGGGGACCGGGGGAGGAGGCACAGCCGGAGGAGATAGGGGGCTGGAGGTCTCCGTGGACACCCGCACTTTGAAGCTCCTCTTGAATTTCTCCCGCTTGGTGGGGCCCAAGTCCCCTGGGAACAGGGGGTTGAAGAAGCACAGGGCAGCTCCTGCGCCCTGGTCCAGCTCCTGGGGGGACCGAGGCTTCAGCCGGGGCAGCAGCGGGCCTTCCGAGGGGCCGGGCTGGGCCTTGGTGTTGAGGGAGGAGCTCCAGAACTCTAGGGGAGAGGCAGTAATTGGAGCTGGAGGGAGTTTGGGGAGGGCAGCCCACACTCAGACTGTGCCTGCCTCCCGCACTGGCGGCTGGCCCCTCTGGCCGGTGCACGGGGGACGGGGCAGAGCTCACCAATGCCCAGATGGGAGATGGCTTCCAGTTCCTTGTGGGTGGCTGCATGTCGGATGGCTCTGGGGAGCTGGAGTGGGAGGAGAAGGATGTCCCTGAGGCCAGAGAGGGAGCAGAACGTCAGGGGACTGGGGTGCCCCGGCTGCAGGGCAGAGGGCAGGGCCCCCGGCAGCGGCCAGCTCACCGGGCATAGCAGTAGGTGCAGATGAGCTGGACCAGGTCGGGGAAGACCAGCACTGAGCCCTCCAGGGAGACGCCTGAGAGAGGGAAGTGCGCGGTTCTCTGGGTCTCTGGAGACCGCCTGGCCCGGCGGCCTCCAGCCCTCCCTGCCAGGCCAGCCCCTCACCCCTGGCGCTCTCCTGGCCAGCCCTCCCTGCCAGGCCAGCCCCCCACCCCTGGCGCTCTCCTGGC